ATTATGTACTCCTTAAATTAACCAACTCTAGCTCAACATGTTCATGTAAAGGTAGTCTGGTTTCTACCATCATCTTGATCTTACATTAATGTGTTATTATGTACTCCCTAAAATTAACCAACTCTAGCTCAACATGTTCATGTAAAGGTAACTTGGTTTCTACCATCATTTTGATCTTACATTAATGTGTTATTATGTACTCCCTAAATTAACCAACTCTAGCTCAACATGTTCATGTAAAGGTAGTCTGGTTTCTACCATCATCTTGATCTTATAATTAAGTACAGTAGTGCTTAATAGTGGGAATCATCATGAAACAAAATGGCAGCCATGAAAAATCACCTGTTTAACACTACCTTTAAAATGTCTGAATACCTACAATGATTATTTCAGAGTATTGGCTGAACAAAACTAATGCTTGTTGAACTTATAAAGCCACTTAAATTAGTATATGTGTGTTTATGGAATGAACCAAATTTCAGTATTTGAACGAATTTTCATCTAAGTAAGTAAGTAAGTAAGTGACTTTTCCAGTAAAAATTATGAACCTTTTTGCTCTACTTCTGTAACTACATCTTGGGTCCCAATTATTTCTGTCCTGTACTGAAATGGATGATGCACTACTTTGGGCATATAATTAGGTTTGATGGTAGATCCTGATGAGTAAAATCCATTAGGGTATACCTGCACCTCACACTTGGTATCACTGCTGCACAAAAATATAGCTAATAAAAAGGAGCAAACAAGTGTAATATAAAATCTTTCAATTTTATATAGACAAGTAGGGATCAATATATATACGTAACCTAGCTAACTATAGTAATATATAAATATAGTAATATAGTTTTTAAGCTACAAAAACTATTAAAACAAGAAAAACAAAACTTCAAACCGAGTTACTTAAAATTTGTAAAATATTCCCCTTACTTTGGCTCAATCTAACATAATTATAGTGATTTGCTGAAGTTTGTTGACAGCAAGTAAAGAGAATGACGTAGTACACTCTAACACCATCTGTGACATGACTGTGTTGACAGCAGTTAAAGTGGATGACACAGTTCACTCTTGTACCATCTGTGACATGACTGTGTTGACAGCAGTTAAAGTGGATGACACAGTTCACTCTAATACCATCTGTGACATGACTTTGTGTTGACAATAGTTAAAGTGAATGACACAGTTCACTCTAACACCATCTGTGACATGACTTTGTGTTGACAATAGTTAAAGTGAATGACGTAGTACACTCTAGTACCATCTGTGACATGACTCTGTTGATAGTAGTTAAAGTGAGTGACACAGTTCACTGTAACATCATCTGTGGCATGACTCTGTGTTGACAGCAGGTAAAGTGAATGACACAGTTCACTCTAATACCATCTGTGGCATGACTCTGTGTTGACAGTAGTTAAAGTGAATGACACAGTTCACTGTAACATCATCTGTGGCATGACTCTGTGTTGACAGCAGTTAAAGTGAATGACACAGTTCACTGTAACATCATCTGTGGCATGACTCTGTGTTGACAGTAGCTAAAGTGAATGACACAGTTCACTGTAACACCATCTGTGGGATGACTCTGTGTTGACAGCAGGTAAAGTGAATGACACAGTTCACTCTTGTACCATCTGTGACATCACTCTGTGTTGACAGCAGTTAAAGTGAATGACACAGTTCACTCTTGTACCATCTGTGACATCACTCTGTGTTGACAATAGTTAAAGTGAATGACACAGTTCACTCTTGTACCATCTGTGACATCACTCTGTGTTGACAATAGTTAAAGTGAATGACACAGTTCACTCTTGTACCATCTGTGACATCACTCTGTGTTAACAGTAGTTAATGTGAATGACACAGTTCACT